GTAATTTGTTTTGTTTTCGGCAGCTTGAAGATCATGAGTATAAACCTTTAGATCCTAAAGATATACGTCTTCCACCCCCAATGCCCCCCAGTGAGAGACTACTGGCTGCGGTTGAGGCATTTTATAGTCCACCATCTCATGACAGGCCTAGAAACAGGTAAGAGTAGGTATAGCTAACGATATGGTAAGGAAAATGCCCTAAGAAGCTGTCTCAAACCACAAAGTGCCTCTCTCTTCCTTCGCCTGTGTCTTGGTTCTTCTAATGCTGAAATGAGTGCTCTTGTATTTTAAACTGCACACGCTGTTTGATCTTACACTGAGATTTGTGAGACCTTTTTGTCCAGGCCCTTTGTTCCCTCCAAAATCCAGCGGAAATCCTGAACGTCCCCGTTGATCAAAGTAGAATTTTACAGATGTCGGTTCTATGTGTGGTTGATTTATTGCAGTGAAGGCTGGGAGCAGAATGGACTGTACGAATTCTTCAGAGCTAAAATGAGAGCGAGGCGGAGGAAAGGTCAGGAGAAGAGAAATAGGTGAGAGATCTTGTCTGCTGCCTTCTGATGCATGCTGTTCGTTTAGAAGGTGCTAGGAATGCCTTGGGCTAAATGCAGAGGGAAAGTCTGTTCAGCAACATGCTGATGGAATAACTGAGTTTGAACTCACCGGAATTTCCCTAATCTGCAGAAAATGGTTTTTGCCACATTTGAGTTTTCACTGGATTGTCTGCAGAAATACAGTGCTTGTGTGTAATATGAATTTGATCAGAAGTATATTGACATTTCTTGTGCTTCTCCCAGGAATTTCACTGGGGTTTCTCTGCTTTTATCTGTGCAGTGGGCCTTCTCGGTCTCGCAGCCGGTCTAAAAGCCGAGGTCGCTCATCCTCCCGGTCCAATTCACGATCTTCAAAATCATCTGGCTCCTATTCAAGGTCACGATCTCGCTCTTGCTCTCGATCGCGATCCTATTCGCGCTCTCAGTCCAGGTAGAGTACAGTGGGCTGGATCTCGGGAACTGGGGGTGTGTGGAAAAAACCCAACCCTCGGGGCTGGATGAGGAGCCCTGGATGTTGCTCTGGTAACTTGTGCCTCTGATCTCGTGTGCTCTCCCTTGCCAGAAGCCGGAGCAGGTCCCGCTCTTCTCATAGCCGCTCGCGATCACGGTCACGATCAAGATCGAAATCGTACTCGCCAGGAAGACGGCGCCGGTCCCGGTCTCGCAGCCCCACTCCTCCGTAAGCTTTTGTTTGTTTATTTCTTTTTTTACGTGAGGTGTTCGGAAAAGTACCAGTAAGGGTGCCTTTCTCATAAGCTGGGTATGTTGAGCATTTCAACAAATAGTAGGAAAGAAGATGGAAAGCAAATTTAGAAATGATTTGTATGCTATATGCGCTTATAGAGAGAAAAAAAGCCACCGCAACAGAGTAATATTATAACAAAACACTGTGCAACTATGAAGGCCTGGTATGCCTTCCAAGGAGGCAGGAGGAATCCTCCAAGTACTCTCTGTGTTAGGAAGAGCGCAGTGTTTGATTTACTGAGAAACAGGTAGGGTGTTTCTGGCACCTTTATAACTCCATAATCTAATAACTTTATAAAATAATAGCTCCGTAGAGTGGCTGGGATTACATTGGATGTTAACGTTTAACAGAATATAAATGACCCTTGCTTTGTGTCAGAACAGTATCACTTGTTCTTAATTTGGTCTTTTTATTCCCTTAGTTCTTCTGCTGGTTTGGGCTCCAGTTCTGGGCCTCCTATACCAGAATCAAGACTCGGAGAAGAAAATAAAGGCCATCAAATGCTAGTGAAAATGGGTAAGACGCTGTTCTGGAATCTTACACAAGCCAGGAAAGAAAATCGTGCACCCAACTCTTGGATACAGTTACTTAGTGCACGTTCACAATCACCCCTTGGTATTCCAAGGTCAGTGTAAGGACGTTCAGAGATAGAAGGATGGAGAACGTGGAGCAGTGGTGGTAGCTGCCTTTCTGGGAAGGATATGGGAGATAGGGACACGGCTTTGGCATTAAACAGAACTTACCTCCCTGAGGTACTTCATCTCCCTGTGGTGTCCATCAGCAGGCTTGACTGGACAGATTGGGCTTGCGCTGTCTTTCCCCTTGCCCTTTTAAAGGGTTTTAGGGCTAGAGTTGATGTTTGTCAGCTCCCAGAATCTCTGCATATTAATGCTTTTGAAATAAATGGGACAGTTCCTATGTTGTTTCAGGCTGTCTCTTACCGCCCTGCTATATCAAATTGATGATTTCTTCGGATGTTTCAAAAATGTCTGTTTGTCCTCAGAATTCTAGTAATAAAAAAAATAGTTATAGGATTACAATCCTGCATCCTTTCTGCAGGATGGAGTGGATCTGGTGGATTGGGAGCCAAGGAACAAGGAATTCAGGATCCAATTAAAGGAGGAGATATCCGAGACAAATGGGATCAATATAAAGGAGTGGGGGTTGCATTAGATGACCCTTACGAAAACTACCGAAGAAATAAAAGTTACTCGTTTATCGCACGCATGAAGGCCAGAGATGAATGTAAGTAAATGTTTCTATGTAATTTCAAAAACTGTGCAGACTTGGTAGCGATTTTGACCTATTTACTGTAAACCCAAATCAAAAGACTAGCAACTCTTAATTCTTTCTAATGTAAGGGATACAATAAAACAGGTAAGTAGACACATACTCTGATTACCCAGCATCTTTTCCTTTTTAGGAGTTGTGTTGTGTTGTAATTTCTGAAACATGAATCAATTTAGCCTGTTCTGAGGAAGTCGCTTCCTGGCTGCAATACCAACATCTTTGAATGTTACCCTTCAAAAAATAGGGGCGATCCCAAAGGTAGTGGAGGGAGCCGAACCGCAGGAGGGATGGCTGCCGAAGCAGGAAGGTCTTTCTGGTTGGAATGAAGTTAGACCACGTTTACTGTTTGGCCCGGCCCAACTCCGACTTTCCTACAATTAGTGCTGTGTTCTGCCAAAGCCAGAACTGGTCATAAACTCACTGTAGTGCAGGAAAGGTTCAGAAAAAGTGGAGGTGCTTCTCGTGAGATGAAGACAATTACCCAAACGACAGAATTTTTTTTTTTTTGCAGAGAGTCTGTGTTACATAGAGCAACTACACTTGGCAGTGACTAAAAGGAGAAAAATTTGGCATGCTGAACGAAAAGTCACTTCTGCCTCTGGCTGCAGTAGATCTGTGTAATAAAATGGGTTTAAATAAAGCCCAAAAGGAAAAACTCCTTATTAGTAGAGCCCTCATTCCATGAAACATTTCCAGCAGCTTAGGTAACTGCAGAATGTGTAAGAACTCTTTTCCCTATTGTTTCAGTGAAGCGTGAAACACAAGACCCTCCACCACCCGAATAAGACTCTCTGAAGAAAGATGTCTTGCATCTTCTACAAAACATTAAACTTCTATAAATCCGGATTAAAGTCTGGAGGAAGTGACAAATGAATTATTTAAAACTATGGTGAAAAATGGAAAGCTATGACATGTACTTCAACACTTGTCGTTTAGTGTTTAAAAAAGGCCAGTTGTAACTATGACATGTCTAGCAAGTTTAAGAATTTCCATTTATTTTGCAAAATTTTTTAATTAGTTACCCATTTTTTACTAGAATTAAACCCCAGCCAAGCTATCCCTGGTGCAGGATTGCGATTCATTCATTCCTGTGGAATACAGACGTGATCTAATATGGTTATGTGTTCTCTAGTTCCATAATGTATGTTTATTTCTCTCAAAAGGTTAATTCTATTTGAAGTGGAGGGGTGCTGCCTTGGGATCAAGTCAGACTGATGCTGAGCAGTGTATCCTAATGTCTAAATGGGGAATGAAGCATCTAGTTCCAGTACAGGTGACCTATGAGCACTGTGCAAGCTTGTTAGAACCTACCACACAACTTAACACCCCTACACACCAGCTGCTGCAGTCACAACTCTGGTCAGAACACGAGGGTTAACTGTTCTAGCTTTTCAAGCGCTCTAAGGGATGTTCAATGCTTTGTAATGGAAGACATTCTTTAAGCTTTTTATATTTTTGTATATACCCTTTAATAAAAGCTAATTAGTTGAATAGAAGAGAATCCATTTTCTCTGCTCTGCAAGTTTCTAACAATGAAACGTTCTTGGAAACTTCCTATATCTATATGAGAAAAAAAAAAAAAAATCAACCTTTTGTAACTGTTTCCAGAGACCACCAGCTAAAGATGTTAGGCCCTTACACTGCACTTCCACTCCAGAGGTCTGCGTGGTGGTAACCTCTTCCAGAGTCATTTGTTTGTATAGCAGAAACCCTCTTAAAACCATTCAGTTAATATGGTGAAATATCAGTTTGTTCTAGATCTACTGTAGTTGTGGAACTGTAACTGTCTGTGAATCAGCATACAACAGCTGTATGTTATCAACTTGTGAATTTTATTGTTTTGCCTTCCAATAAACACTTTTTTTTAATAAAAATAAAATAGTCGCTCATATTTCAGAGTAAACAGACTCCAGTACGTTGGCTATAAGCCCTCCTTGTATTGAATTCACCTGAACTTTACGTGTGTTTGGTTGTGTAGTAATCTGACAAGACTAATTATATATAAATACTGTTTGAATATGGCATTAAAGAGAGGACATGGTATTTTTTTACTGCGATCATATTCCTCATCTGCTGTGGTACAGACTTTCACTTCTACCATGATCACACAGTCTACGTGATAAACATGCATACTGTGATGACTTACCACCCTGCCTTCAAAGAGGAGTGTTTCTTAGTTTCTTGTTTGCTGAACACTGACACAGTCTGGCTGAAGGTGCCTGCCTATCCCTGTATCATGTACATTAGTCAAAAATTCAGATGTAGGAAAATAAATTGTGTATAATAAGATACATCGCAGTTAGTACAAATCCTTCCAGTACATAGTTAATAACTTTAGCTGTGCAGTTTGGCAGTGTTTCTTGTTCCAGATAAAGATCTGTAAATGTAAATTTTACTTAAAATTCGAAGACTCAAAGCAGTTTTTCGTCCTGTGCTTTCCGAATTTCTTCACGAGCTTGCTCTAGTGTTAGAGGTGGGGATTTGTGATTCTTGATGTACTGCCAAAAAAATTAATACACAAATTTCTCTGTTATGAAGATAAATACTTCCTGGTATTTAATAAGTAATAAATCTTCATGTCAAGATACCTGCACTTTTCTATACTAGCACCAGAAACTGCTGCAGCATTAGGAAGACCCTTGCTCGTTTGCGGACAGCTACCTGCTACAGCAGAAAACTTACTCTTTCAAAACTATGGCCTATAGTAAGACTTTAGCCTTGTTTTACCATATAAACTCCTGACTTGTTATTAATATGGACACAAGCATTACAGTATTGGTCTTCTGTGAAGTAATTTATTGAATGATAATATGAACTTTGCCTGATTAATGAGTAATAGGCAAAGAAAACCCGCTTGCCACAAACGCTAGAAGTGTTTGGAAAGGAATATGCACTTATTCTGTCTAGGCTGCTGTCTAGTCTATCATAAATACCTCTTTAGCCTCTTCCAGGGTATGGTAGTGAAACTTCTCATTCTCTAATGACTCCACAAGGGATACGTGAAGGTGGTGAATGTTCTCTACAAACTGCTGAGTCAACATCAAGTGCTGTTTCAACATGGCATTTAAAACGAGAACAGACGGGCTGTATGCTGTCAAGGCTGCAAGAAATGGAGAGTATATACTTAGTGATACATTACAGTCAGATAGTAAGGGCTCAACAATCCAAGCAGGGGTTAGATGCATAAAATATAGTAAAACAGAATAGTAAGAAATGTGTTTTTCAGTACCTTCTACTGCATCCATGCTGACGACATGACTGGCAATAGGTACCGGATCAATGTAGCTGTTTCCTACAGGTGGGTCCAGTACCGCAGAGGTGTTTGCTGCATATGGGATAAAGTTAGAATTACTGGTTTTGGAGGGTGGAAAGGTTTAGCTTTAGAACTCAGTTCATCTTCAGCAGTCTCCTGGGACATCAGCTGCTGCAGAACCGTCTTAGAGCCTAGCAGGGAATTCTGTCAGCCAAAAAAACGCTAAAATAGGTCTATGACCTCCACAGTTCCTTTACTCTTCCATTCACAACACGTGCCATTGAGGAAGGCATCTTTTCTAACCCTAGACAGAGTAAATATAAAGGCTTTTGTACTTGAAGGAAGCTACTGTTTTCAAGCACACCCGAGTTCCTATTTTCTCCTCCTTGAGCATGGCAAGAAGTGGCACTTGCCACTTTCTTCGTTTAAGTAAGGAGAGGTAGGAAAGGAGCTACTCCTCAGAAACAGTTAAAGGTCTCATCTGTCTGTCTTTTGTAAATGAGGCCATAGTGCTTTCCCAAGAAATAAATACAATGCAACAAAAGAACTCTACGATGGGTGATCAATGCAGTAACAATACAATAGTATTGCTTGCAACAGAGTAAAGGTACAATAAAAATGTTGAATTCCATTTGAGAATATTACTGGGGCTATTGCAAGCTGTTGCGAATGCTAGCTCATGCATCCAGAGTTCCTGTGGTGGGTTTTCTGAGCAAAAAGCAGTTCCAAGTTCTTATCCTGTTGTCCAAGCCAAATCTTTTCTACAGATAGCAAATTAAAGTGTTGGGCTTCAGACAGTTTTTAATGTAATGTCAGCTAGGGGAAGCTAGAACTGAAACAAAGAACTCTTATCAATGCTGACTAGGCTAGCATATAATATAAAAATTGCCTGAATAGGGCAATATCTCATGAACTTACTCTTCGACCAGCAATAGGTGAATGGAAAATCCACTGTCTGAACCGCAGTTTCTTTGACAGTTACTCTGTGTACCTGGCCATGCCGCCCTCCGGTAAATAACGGTGATGATGCTGAGGATGGGTGTTTTCCAGAATACATGCAGCTCTTAGAATGTTCCTCTGACATTTTTGATACAGATTCCCTGTCTGTTGTAGACAGGGACCTTTCAAAGTCTTCAGAATATTCTGAATTAACAGTTCTCTCATCATGATCAAGGTAATCCAGTTTGTGTCTAGGAAAATCTGCCGAAACTCCACTTAAATGCTCAGAGATTTCAGCTTCAGTCACAGTTTTTTCAATATCCCCTTCAGATGCATCATTCACGCCAGTTACTACACTTGTCGTTTTAAGAGACATTTGGTCTTTTTCCATCAGGAATGTATCTTTTTTTGGATTTCTGTTTGATTCTTGAGCAATTTGAATGTCTGTGCCCTGTAAAACAAAACAGTTGTATGTTAGGAGAATCAACAAAATAGAACCTAGGATATGCCTCCATTATTCTTCATCTGTTCTGCTGCATATCACTGAGAGTTAGCTACTGCTTTATTAAGAAATAAAAATGTTGCTCTTCAAACTGTGCAGTGCTGTTACATCTAGTAAGGAAATGCAGACACTAAAAAGAGAATTTGGTCAGGTTTCAGTAGACTAAAATCCTGATCTAACCCTTACAGCTAGTGACACATGCCCACTGCAGTTAACGTACAAGTAGAATAGAAGTATTTATTTTAGAATATCTACTCGCCACCAAACAAAGGCAGAATGGAAATACGTGCTAGTAGGGAATTTCTACTTACTTTCTGGTTTAATTCTGCTGCCTCACTGGTGATATCTGGGGCCAAATCATCAAGGCTCAGGATATTCAGTCTGAAGTCTGCAATCAAATGACATATCGTCATGAGAATTTGCATGAAAATTACAGGACACTTTCCCTTAAATGAGAAAAGTGGGGAAAAATAAATCAGTACTACATTCCTAGTTTAAAGTGTAATACTAAAAAGTAATTGCCATCATCACTCTAAACCTTTAACTTAGCAGCAGCTCTTTCTAAAGCTTGCTCCTTTGCCTGTCGGTGGATCTGCTAACCCAAGTTCAAGAGATTCTTGCTGCCCCTCGTTGACGCTTGCTCTTGCTCAGATCCATTAGTACATTGTCCCACTGATATATGAAAACTATTCTAAATGTTGTAATTGTTTTGACGTCATAATTAAGTGTCACCCAGGGAAGCATCATTAAACTGAACCCATTAAATCAAAAGCCAAGAAAAATACAAATACATAACAGTAGAAAAAAGAAACAGATCAACATAACTCCTTTGATAAAGCCTTGGTTTATGTAAAATCACTCTACTAAATCCTTTCAAAGTGAATGTTTTCCCATGTTTATTAGTAAATTTATCAGTAGATATTAGTACAATTCATGCTAAGCCTACCAAAGTGGTATTTTAGAACACTCACCATTTGAGCTGCTGCTAGTTGAATCTTCTGCATCAGCTGCTTTTGAAAACAATTCATCTAGTGATTTTATTTCACTTCTGTCACTTTCAAGTGATATTTGGCTTTGCGTGGGGGTGCCTGTTCTAGGCAGAGTAATCTTTACAGTGTTGTCTTTCATGGAAGAAGACAGTGACTGAGGTCTCGTATCATGTCGTACTGACAGGTTTCTGCTGGCTGGTGAAGGTGTTGGTGAATTAACTCTACCAAAAACATTTTTCCCTGAGTCTTTGCTGTGAAAAGATGTTTTAGACACCTCTGTCAGTGAAATTTCCTTATGAGATGGAGAAGGGATTCCGGATGAAACTGGAGTCTTAGTCTTTTGAAGAACATGAAAAAGAGATTTATGTGTTAATTCATTTATTATGTGTAGATCACTAAAAAGGAACAAATTATAACGGTAAAACCCAGTAACTTTAAAATGTGAATTGAAGTTAAATCATATCATGCGCAAGCCACAAATGCAAAATTACAATTTAGTTTCTGGTGTTGTCTAAATAAAAAGTGACCTACCAATTTAAAACAGCTTCATAAAAGTGTAAATAAAAACACATAATCCAGTGAAGTCTGTATTTACCTTTCCACCCCATTTAGAGTTGCTTGCAACAACCCTCCGATTCTTGTTTCCACTGGAAAACTCCAAAGCGCTCTCCATCAATTCTCTCATTTCCTCTTCATCACTATCCAAACCAAGCTGCTGTGTAACCAGAACATTCTTTTGAGGGCTTTGGATGCCTTCCTCTTCCTTAGAACTGGCATTACTGAGGGTTATGTTTCCACTGGCGGTAGCATAATTCTTCAGATATTTCTTGCCCCTTGCACTGTGTTCATGACTGGAAGCAGATGAGAAGGACTCTTCATCCAAAGGCTTCTGGCCCAAGTCAGTGTTTTGCAATTCCATCTGCTTTTTTCGATTCATGATTTTGCTTTCTAGTTGTGCCACTTTCCTCAGAGCTGAGCTTGACCGTGCGTGGGAAGCACTACCCGAAGTGCTCTTTGCTACGTGACTATTCACCGTTTGCACAGCGCTTCCTGATGTTCGGCACCACTGGCTTCCACGTACGTTTTCATTACGCACCTTTAGGAATCTGCTGTGGCAGAACGGAGCTCTTCCAGTTTTCTCCAACTCTGTGTCAACCACAGAGAGGTCACTACAGGAGCGAGGAAGGATGCTGAGGCCAGCTGTGATGGTTCTCCTTTGCCCCCCTGCCGATAAGAGGATACAACATGAAGAGCCCTCAGAGGTGGATGCAGGCGGCCCGGTTCAGCCCTCAGCTCCCCAGACTGGGCAGACACTCCCGCTCTCCATAGCTCTGCCCTCGTCCCAGCCTG